AGTGTGCTGGAAAGAGAGGTAGTAAGCGCCCTTTCTCCTGGAGTGTAAGCCTCACAGAAAGGCAATTTCATTGGACAACAAATAGATTGAGACAACTCAAAAGCAAGCGACCACAGTAAAAACGGTCTCAAACGCGCTGAACAGAGTCAGTAAAATGCCCAGCGGAAAGTGGGGATGATCTCCCCAACATCACGCTATCATCCGTGCATCAAACCGTCTCCCGTCTAGCACCACCTTTTGTCGACTCCACCTCCATATTATCTCCAGCACTCCTGGATGCCATATCCCCCTTCACACCCTTTTTCAACCGAATATCGCTGGCGCATATCCCACCTCATGAATAGAGACGAAATCACGTTCTTATCTGTAACTTCAATTTATACCGATGAGGAGTTTCCGGCGCATTCCGAATGCCTCGTCCCATCTTCGCCAAATTGTTGCGACTTATTCAGTGTAAAATTCAGAAAAACATTGAGATGGGTCAAAGGTCAAAGAGAACAACCGTCATGCCAGATATGCGCCTCGGAATCACCCTACGCCTACTAGCTGGAGCAGATATGTGGGACCTCATATCAAGCTACCACGTGAGGAAATCTACTATCCACAGGATTTTTGAGGACACTGTAAGTGTGCTAAATGTGGTCCTCCGGCTTCCTGGACTGCCGAAAACAAGAGGAGATCTCTATACATCATCAATCGCTTTCAAAACCTCAAGAAAAACAGTTAGTCCGTTGGACGGGTGTGTCGGGGCTCTAGATGGTCTTGCAGTTAAAATCACTAAACCAAAGGAGGAGAACCCCGCGTCGTACTACAACAGAAAAGGGTTTTACGCCCTTTGTGTGCAAGCTATGGTGGACTCCAATTATCGTTTTCTGACATACTCCTGTCGCTGCGTGGGTTCGACTCATGACTCGCTCAGTCATGAGACCTCAAGTTTAGGAAGATATCTCCAGGAGGGCCGTTTGTGCGAAGAATTTTGGATAGCCGCTGACGAAGCATATTTGTGCACTGAAACTGTCATAACACCTGTACCAAGCTCGCAGGTTACAGAGACAGAAGATGCGTTCAATTTCTACCACTCGTCACTACGAATGCCCGTAGAGCAGGCGTTTGGGGTTTTAGTAGCCAAATGGGGCATTTTGCAAAGGCCCTTGCGTTTCGCAGTACGGAATTCATCACGAATTGTGTGCACTGCCATGAAGATACACAATTTCGTTGTCGATGAAGGCGGTTCGAGGCGAGAAGGTATGACAGCAGTGGAGTTTAGACAGGTTTACACAGAAAGCTTGAGGTGGCACAGACAAATGACGCGGGCAGCAAACACAGGAAGGGAAACAGGACGAAGAATGGCGGGTTCGAGAAAACGTGACAGTCTCATAGATCTGGTAAAGGCAAAACGATTGGAACGACCTCCTGTACGCCAACGCCACAAATAAATATTCGTCCCCCTCTACAAGTAGTGCTGCAATTGGATTATTCGAAATGGTTGACGTGGGAAGCTATAGAAAGTCATGGCCTTCTAGACAAGGTCGGGAGCTGGCGATACTGAGGAAGGGACACGAACAGAAATGGAACGAGGTACGCAAGGAGAAAAGTTGAAAGATGGGAATGGAGTGGAAAAGGGGAAGCTGGGGTTGACTAAGGTGAGATGGAGCTGGAGTTCAGGACGGGGAGCTGAGACTGTGGGGATGGCGAGGGAAGCAAGAAGCTGCAGTTGGTGAGGGAGCCAGGATGCTGGAGATGGTGAGAGAGAACTAAATCCGAAGATGGGAAGGGAGGGACGACTCTGGGGATGGTCAGGGAGAAAGAGAGCTGAGAATGGTGAGAGAGGGGGGAGACTACAGTTGGTGAGGGAGGTAAGAAGCTGCGTTTAATGAGGGAGATGGCAAGCGGAGGATGGGAAGGGAGGGACTACTCTGGGGACGTTCCGGGAGAAAGAGAGCTGCAGATAAAAAGGGAGGCAGGAAGCGGCGGTTTTTGAAGGAGAGGGGAGGCTGAGAATGGTGAGGGAGGGGGGAGCTGCAGTTGGTTAGGGCGGTAAGAAGCTGCGTTTTGTGAGGGCGATGGCAAGCTGAGGATGGGAAGGGAGGGACGACTCTGGGGATGTGAAGAGAGTTAGGAAGCTGGAGCTAGTGAGGTAGAGAGAGACAGAGAGAGAGAGACAGAGAAAGAGAGACAGACGGAGAGACAGAGAGACGGAGTAAGTGAGATATGGGAATGGTGGGAGAGGAGGAGAGAGGAGGAGTTTGCAAGTGGGGACGCACGAGTGGATGTTGATGATCATTCGATTTGTTGCTACAGTAGTTTGAAGGACCCACTCTATTTGTACATTTTATACATCTCATTGTTTGTGCTGACCTTCTGCTTTAATGTAATTAGCCTAAAATATATATCTTAAGGGTGACCCCACCGCCAACAAAATTTCTGTCCTAAAATTCCAACCACTAAAGTTTGGACCGATGGACTAAAGTTCGGACAGATGGAAGAAATTTTGAACCCCACCGCGCCACAATTTGTCCTAAAGTTTAGAATTTGGGAAGGATTCTTTTCCAAACCAAAATTATTTGGTCGAGATTTTTGTCCAAAGCGCCGTTTGGGCGAGCTTCGTTCTATAGTAACGGTACAGAAAACATCTGAATTTCATGTGCTTACAGCTCTACCAAAGCTCTTCCAAATGGCTTTGCGGCTGTTTTGACTGAAGTCCCATCAATAGTGTGGGACGCAAAAAGGAGTGTTGGGCAGCCTTCGCTCGTGGACATTTCCCATCTTCTCCCTCCTTCTCGTCTTCTGAGAAGTGCAGGCAATGGCTGAGGTGGTTACTAGGACTGATGACTCGGCAGTAAGAGTGAGGAAAAAGGGTAAGGGACTGGGGTGGTCAGACGAGGAGAATCTTGCCCTGTGCGTTGCTGAGAGCGCAGTGTCTGAGAACGCCGCGAATTGAAAGCGTGGTGTACTTGCCGAGTTGATAATTCCCAAACAGGAGCCTACATACTATGGAGAGCGGGCAAGTGACGAGCAAAAGTTGCCGCCAATTGTGGAACAGACGCGTGCAGTAGCTTGCTTCTTTGCGCCAAATGTATTTCTACGACATACTTGTAGCCTAATTGGGGTGACCCTGAATATGAATAGATGTATCGTGTTACAGGCGCGGTGGGGTTCATCTCTGAATCACCACCTCCCCCAAAGCGCGGCTTGATTAAAAGATAGTAGATCCAATTACCGGAGGACAACTGTCTGCTTTTTGCGATTTTGGGCAAGGCGCGGTGGGGTCACCCTAAGGTCTTCAATATATACTATCAATGTCTTTCACGTGGGCACCTCGCAGTGACCAATCATATGGCCTAACTTGATATCGGAAAGAAAGGCATGGTTATGTTGGGACGGGCTCTCACATGCCCCGAGTTTTCGTTATGCTGTGAGTTTTGCAAAACTCGTTGTCTGAAAATTTTGCAATCAGAAAATCCGAGCAAACTCGCGTATTTTCGCGACTTTACGGACAACGTTACGGTACGTATCGTATTTCAAGGCACTTTGAGTAGCCGCCCAGTGCCGTACCAGTTGCAGGGCATAACTGTTGTAGTGCACGTTCTTAATGCAGGATCAGGAGTGCGTTATCGTCAACGCACCAGGAGCGCATTTCGACAGCAAACGGCACGATAAGGCAGCGGCACGCCCTAATGAATCGTTAGCTTCTAGCCTGCACAGTATCAACGTCCCAGTGAGATTTTTGACACTTCGATGTACGGGCCAACCAAAAGGGCAGAATCTCGAAAAATCAACAATCATAAATAAAGCCCCTAAACATTGCTGTATGGCCTAGAGACTTGGAAATGTGTCACGCTGGATGGAGAGTCATCGTTGCCGACCCTAAGCACACAGCCTTCAAAACCACGGAAATCACAAGCCGTTATCATTTTCGTTATGCATACTTGAGGCACCCAAAAGCCCCGCTGCAGACACCCTCGCGTCGGCAACGCATACACATCCTTTCGCATTGCATCTATCCCCTCGCATGCAACAACAACTGCAAACGCGGCCACTCGCACAATCTCCTTTCTTTCGCCTCCTATCAGACACCCTACGCTTCCATTTCGTCCTACAGCTTGCCGTCTTCAGGAATCATGGATCCTTTGAGTGTCCTTGAACAGGTTGGCGCGGTGGAGGAGGTCGTCGGCCTTGTTGGCCTGGCCATGGACACACAAGATGCCTTCAAGAACAACGGAAGCTTGGCCACAAAAGTACTCAAAAAATATCTCGAGCTCCAGGAATTGACGGGGAATGTCGCGAAGGTCCCTATTCACGACCTAGAACCCCTACACAAGAATGAGTTGCAAACACATATTCAAGCCGTCTGGCGCTCTGCTTCGGGGTTGGTCGAGGAACTCAAGGAAGAAATAGAGAATCCGAAGGGTAAGTTACGCGCCGTGGCGTCAGCCATTGGAGATCAAGATGTCTTAATTGCGCGCCAAAAGGAAGCCGAAAAGCTCTAGCTTCTATTGATAACGTACGGAGGGAAATGCACGGGGTGAGAGAGACGCGCAGACAAGGATCGCTTGTAGTTGGTGAGATACGCTCACATGCACCGGTCGGTGACGTGTTAAAGCCCAGTTTCGCGGTTGAATTCAACTCTCCTGCAGTGCTCGTTGATTTGGACTCTGCCCACGGTGGCGTTGTTCCTGACACAGTAGAGAGAAGGATAAAGGCGGCTGTTTTGAGCAACGGAACAACTTCGCATGTAGGAGCAACGGCAGTTGGGCAAGCCGGGGTCGGAAAAACATGCGCCCTACGAGCAATTGCACATGATAGAGAAGTTGTCACGCGCTTCCCAGACGGAGTTTATTTTTAGACATTAGGGCAAGACGCAAGAGAAGCAGAGCTGAAGCAACGACTCTGCAATGCTGTCCGCATCTCTGGGGGACGTAAAGAAGGGGACAAGCTGTCCAATCTGGCCGACCTGGATGAGGTGCTAACAGGGGTTCAAGCTTGGTTTGCAGGTCGTCGATGCCTATTCATCTTCGATGATATCTGGTCGCGCAACAGCGATGACGAGAGGATCTTGCTGAAACTGGCCAGCCTTGCCAGCACCGCGGTGCGAAATGATGAGCCAGCGAGCATGGTTTTGTAGTCCAGAAGAGATCCGACGCTAATAGATCTGGGCGAGCAAGTTAAGTTTGAGCCGAGGGAAGGGCGTAATGCGTACGATATGCTGATTCATGCGAGTGGGGCATCGCGTGGCGAAGTAGAAGATCCAGTATCGAGAGAGAAGTTTAGAGAGATTCTTGACATGTGTGCGGGACTACCACTGGCTCTGAATGTGGCAGGAGTCACTGGTAAACCATCAAGAGGGGCTCGTGCCGGGGATATACCAGAGTTGTGGACGTGGTACTTGAAGAAGATCAAAGAGAGTAAAGGGAGCAGTGCAATTGGCGCCCAGAAAGGAAGAGGCGGGTATAAATCGCTCCACGCAATGTTGCGCTCGTCCTTACAGTTTCTGGACTCAAATGGCAGCGAAGGATCTCCGTGTTTTGCGGATATGCACCGGGGGCCTTGTGTGTCTTGAAGAAACAGGATGTGATCCCTCTGGCAGTGTTGAGGGATCTATGGGGAATGGGCGATGTTAGTATCGCAAGAAAAATGCGACGCAGATGAACAGTGTGGGGTTGGTTGACATTCGATTTCTGGCGAACACGGAAAGCCAAGGGGTAAGTCTTCATGATCTTACGCATGATTTCGCAGTCTCCGAAGCAGGCCAGGTGGAAGGCCGTAGCTGGGTCAAACAGTGGTGTGGGAAGCTGGTCGATAGCTATCGGAAAGGGAGGGATGTGGTCGAAGTAGTTGTTGAAGATCAGGGCGCGGAGGCAAGCGAGGCAGAGGAGGAGTATTTTTTCGAGAATATTTGTCGAATGCTTGTCAGAGCAGAGCTGATGAAAGAGCTGAGCTGTTTGCTCCTTAGTAGTAGGTGGGTAATCAAGGTGTTGCTAAGAAAAGCTGTGTGGCAACTGGTGGAAGCGGTGGGAGAGTTGAGGGAGGTTGTTAGTCAGAAACCAGGGGTAATTGGAAGTGCGGATTTGTCTGCAATAGTTCTGGTGATGCAAGCTGTGTCAGACCGCACAGGACAGTCTGTCCTTCAGGATAGACTTATAACTAGCGAGCGACGACGAGTAAACGAGGAGGCATCGGTCTTCTGTTCACACAGGTTATGGGCACCTTTTGCTACCTTGCATAATTCAACCTTCCCCGCTTCACGATCGCAACCCACCACGACAAGAACAAACCGATCCCTCCCAACGCGGAGGAGCCCCAGGCTAACCCCATCTCAGCCCCTCACCTACATCCCTCCACCGAAAAATCCTACGACATCAACACAAAACACGACAAACCAAACGACAAACTACACAACAACCTACATGACAAATCACACTACATCTCACATCACAAACAACACTCACCAGGACATACGCACCTGGAAAACGCCCCGACATCCCCCGCCTCGACCCGACTAACTACGGGCCGTGGATCGTGGCCACTCGAGCAGCAGCACACACGATTGACGCCATCGAGCACATCATCAGCAACCCCACTCCCCCACAAGACCCCACCGATCTAGCAACATTCAACCGCAACAAGAACTACCTACTCGGCAAGCTGATCACGTTCATACCAGCCCACATAGCCAACCTCATACTCACCCCACAAGCGATCCAACTCCTTACGATCTCATACAGGCAGTCATTTCCCACTTGGACACAACCAACGCTTCAGACCACAAATACCTAAAGCAGCTAGCCGAGCAGACACACTTTCTGCCCGGTATGACTCTTGATCAGTACATCAAGGCCCATGACCAGATCAGAACCAGAATGATCGCAGCACGGTTCCCAGAAATAGCCGACCCCAAAACAACAGTAGAGTTCCTCATCGACGGCCTGCGGTTCAACCCCGCCACGGCCGCGATTGGCAGCCAACTCATTGCCCTGGACCCCAACGACACAAAAGACTTTGTGCACAAGTTCAATCGAATGGACCTCTACCGGCAAGCGTCACAACCACGCACCTATCAAATACACGGCGACGCTGGAGGCTCAAATTTTTTCAGAAATCCAGCCTCGGCCCCTCAACGCTACAACCGTTTCTACCGCCGGAACCTCCCCGTACCATCCAATCCATGCAGATTCCACATGTCACGAGGCGTCTCCCACCCCCGGCACACCGACGTCGAGTGCAATCACGCAGCACACCCCCGCCATCGTACCCGTCAACCCGTACGCACCAAGCCGTACCAGACGGCACGGGGCGCTCAACGTCAAGACGATTACACAAAAGACTCGGATATGGAGCTGGACGACACAACCGATCACAGCCTGCACCAGGACTACTGTACGTACATCCTCGACTCGGGCGCCCACCCAACACACATGGCCAACCTCGCCTCCATACAGACACCACAACCCATACAGCACAAAACAAAGTACCACATCACACGCACGCAAGACTTCCGTCCGTACACAAAAACACATGACCCTACTGTGGGATAACTCCTCTCCGCCCTGGGTTGGGTGAGAGGCGGAGGCTCTAGCGAGGGAGCACGCGGCGCGGATGCGACGCGCCAATTGAACCGATCGGACGAGCTCGCGAAAAGGGAGTGGCTCACTGGCCGGTTACGCGCAGTCGCCCCGTGGTGCGTAAACGGGAGCGACCGGTAACGGGTTAGAAACCAGCGCGCGCGGCGGACAACCGAAACGGACGTACGTAGGCGCAAAAGGGACGGGGGCGAGCTTGCCCCAGTTTACTGGTGGGGACGGGTATCAGGTCTTAACCCCTCAGAGGGACGCCTCGGACACCTGTCCCAGTATACAGTACCTGCCGCCTAGTGCGTACCAGGTACTGTACGCCATTAAAAAACTAGCGCCTCAATTCCTAATTACCGCGCGGACGCTGCAGCTACACGTGTGTACTACTGTACACACGCGCTGCTTACAGACTACTGCACGGATGCCACGTGTGCTAGCGTACACGTAATACTAGCAGACTACCGCTTGGCCGACACGTGCACTACTGTACACGTACGCCAGATTACGACCGCTCGGCACGCGCGCGCTCCCTACACGTGGGCACACCCGCCCACGTGTACACCGTGCACGGCCGCACGGATAATAATCTCCCCGCGCGCGCGTCCGTCGTTATACTACAGACCCCCTTCCTTAGCTTTCGCTACGTCCTCGTAGCGACCACCCATCCGACCACGGAGTTCCGTTCCGGTTTGTCTTCTCCCCTGCGCGCGCGAACGACCATGCCTCCTAGCTCTTCTTTAAGCGGGCGCTCTGTAAGCCCGCTGTCTCGTCCGATTCGGTAAGCGTGTCCTTCACTTCCCTTCACGCGAAGCCCGCCGAACCCTCAACTCACTTTACTCACTCTCCTCACTCTCCTGCGCGCGCTGCCTCCTCCTCCCGCGACGGCATCCCCCTACAGTAGCTCCTGCCGCATCCGAGAACGGTCGACCACGAAAGTCCTCCTGCAGCGCCTTCGTACAGTGCGCCGTCGAGCCCTGCTGGGGCTCCGGCGTCGGCGCAAGCGCCTCCCGCGTCCCAACTACGACGTCGCCTCTGCGGAGAGCCGCGATCGGCCCCCGAGTTGGCCGGGCTCGCGCTCGCGTCGGTCGATTCGTCCGATCCGGTCGAGCGACGGCCGCATGGCGCGCACGCAACGCAGCGCTCGCCGCGGCCCTCTGGAGGGCCGGGCGAGGGTTGAAGGACGCTGTGCCCTGCCCCCCCGCACACGAGCGAGACGCGAGCTCCGTGTGGACGGTCGGGGTAATTTCCCTTCGTCAACCACCCTCCCGGAGGGCTGGCCAATTTGTAAAGAATCTGCGTTCATTTGCCATCCCAAGAGCGGCGCGAGCGAGTAGGACCACGACACGTGCTGCGTACCGTGTTCAAGTGGATGCAACGCGACGTCAGGGAGCTCCGGAGCGACCCTACCAAGAAAAGACAGTACCGAACCGGGCTGTACGAAGACCCTCCCGTTGATGGAAACCTCGTTCATAAAAGCGTTTCCGACCGACCAAGCCCACTCTCGCTCCACGTTATAGAGGAGGACCTCGTGAGCGGGGTGGTGTCGGTCCGAGCAAGCATAGCCGAAATGCTTGAGGACGTAGGGGAGTAAGACGTGTACTCCCAAGGAAGGAAAAGCCTCCCGTATCGACCTGGGTAATTCAGGGAAGTCGTCCGTCGACAACCCGCGTTCGAATGATGCAGACCGCAAAACGCGGCCGTCCGCCTCGCTCGCTTGGCGATAAGCAGACCAATCATGCGGGGCTAGGGCAATCGAATGGAGTCTCATTAAGGAACAGGCAGACTTCTGCAGTGCCGCACGCGTTCTCGAGTACGCATATGGCCGGGGGCTCACGTACAGTCCCGCCACCTCTGCAAGTACAAACCGTTGAGGACCCCGGGGGCCGGGGTGGAACATATACGTCGCCATGCGATCAACATACTCCGCCTCTTCTATACTGTATACGAATGTTCTGTCACTGGGGATTTCATCTGGTAGCTGGTATGGGGCACCGGTCCCCTCGGCCAGCAAACGTCCCAAGGCAAGCGAGGCCTCTTCGGTCAGGCCCTCTGCGTATATGAGACGGATACGTAACAGGTCGGGTCGTACCCGACCCTGCGAGAGGATCTCGCCGACAGTGATCCCTGATCGAGCGTAACGACGCCATGCGTACCTTAGACGACCAAGAGGAAGTGGCGTCGATCGCTCGAGGGGTACGCCCAACCACTGCGTCGTGGTTGCTGCGTCCTCCTGGGCTATACAACGGATATCCCGAGACGCCTCGGGCGGTGTCCCGGGGCGCCCACAGCTCCCATAAGCGCCATACGACGCCTCCGCGGGCTCGTACGCCGCGCTCCCCCGCCCCGACGACGGGGCCTCACCATTCCGCTCCACCCCCCCGTTGGACTGCGCAGCAGCGACGGAAGCCACTGCAGGGGCGGCACCCAACTCCGTGGACAACGTAGTCTCACGGGACCGCCGCCCTTGCTGGAACGGCGGAAGGGAGGAGACCACGGGCGTAATCGACGCGTCTTGGAGCGGAGATGCCTCTTGCCTTGCCGTGGATCCTTGGGAACGGACCGGCCCTTCGACAGCTGGTGTAACGATTGCGAAGCGAGACGGCTCACCGTGCAAGGGGTCTGTCCCCGCTAGGGCCCCAGTCGGCGGGGAATCTGCCATGACAACGAGAAGGGGGGAGCCGACGGGCCCGGTTGCGCGTACGATAATCAGAGAAAACAAACGCGAAGAGGGGATCAAGCAGAAATAGGGGTCAGCACGGGAGGTGGAGAAGAGAAGGGGACCGGCCAGCACGCGCATAGGCCACCGTCCGGGAAAAGAGGGGCGTGACGATGGGACGCGATCGCGAGAGGTACGCGGAGGGCTCGAGACGACTACAAGCTCGGACATTTCCGCTCCCCTCAAGCACATGTGGACGCGGACGTCCACGCTTGAGGGGGGGGGTGGTGTAGTATAACTACAAAAGAATTAGATTAGAAATTGGATCCGGCTCTGTAAGGCACGAACCTTACAGACAGCCGGTACCACACGTGTACGGGGGCACGCGCCCCCACGTGTACTATACGTGTACGACACGTATACAGTCAGCCCCGTCGGCTGACAGCGCCGTCTACAGTAGTGCCCCATAGTACAGTACGTACTGTAC